TGGGGAACACCGTTTGGACCAGGATTGACCACTTTGCCACCTTCGTAGTCGATTCTGTCTCACTTAGGTCTTCCTTCTTACTCGCTTCGGCCTCGCAAAAATCGCTTTGCTGTGGTGGTAGCCTTTGAGCTTTCTGTTTTCACCTGATATTTTACCTTTTAGTTTACCTCCGCTCTGTATTTGTAACCTTTCTCGCTTTTCAAACCTTATTTCCATTTTTACTGCCTTTGCACCAAGATTTGGACTCACACTTTCTTTCGCGCAGCCCTATTCACCCGAGTTGATCTTGATCTTTGTCTCCCCCGCTTTCGCTAGTCTACGACATGGAGCATCCACCACCTGGATTGCTGGCCTCATCTACGGCGCCACCTGCACGACTACCAGGATGTCAATCGTCCTCACACAAATCTCCCACAAGGCCCGGACTACATGGCCCAGTCTGACTCCAATGATGAAGCCCCTCCTCCACCAGCACGGGATTCTGCCACTGGTGTGCTGGCTGTGGCTGTGGATCGGCGTGTTGGTTTTGCGGGCGCTGCTGCCGATGCTGGTGCAGGTTCTTACTTCTCATTTGCGTGGCTCTGGATCGGCGTTTCGTTTTGGCATGTTTTGGCGGTGCTGGCTCTGGATTGGCGTTTCATTTTGCGGGCGCAGCTGCCGTTTTGGTGCTGGTGCTTTCGTTTTTCGGGCGCAGTTGCCATGCTGGCGCTGGCGCTGGATCGGCGTTTTGCTTTGCGGGCGCTGCTGCCGCGCTGGTGCTGGTGCTGGATCGGCGTTTTGTTTTGCCGGCGCTGGTGCCGTGCTGGTGCAATCGCTGGCTCTGGCTCGCTCTGGATCGGCGTTTCGTTTTGCGGATGTTGCTGCCGTGCTGGTGCTCGACCAGGGATGACGCCATGTCACGCCCAGAATGACATCATGTCATGGGAGGATGACATCATGTCATGCCAGGAGCGACATCATGTCATGCCAGAAACAACGTCATGTCATGCCAGGGAATGACATCGTGCCATGCAAAGGGCTGACATCATGTCATGCCCAAAAATCACATCATGTCATGCCAGGGATGACAAATCTATACGCCCGCTATCTGGGGTCTATGCCGGTGTGATTTAGACAATATCTCACAAGGTTTAAAAACTTTTTCTTGCTCTGTTAACGTATTGCAATTGAGAAGATTCATCGGCAGTTTTTACACATACACACACACACACACTCGCGGATAGATAGATAGATAGATAGATAGATAGATAGATAGATAGATATATATTATGCCAGCATAGACCCCAAATAGCAAAAAGACTTTTTCCGGCAGCGCCAGCAGCAACGGCGCCAGCGGGGAGCCGCACAGCAGCGGCCCCAGGCGCACACAGGAGCGGCACCCTGCAGCGGCACCAGCACCCAAGCTCACCCAGCTCTTCCTATACTTCAAATAGGAAACGCAATAGCTCGCGCTATCTAGGGAATTGCGCCAGGAAAATGACCATTCCCGCAGCACCAGCAGCAACGGCGCCAGCACTCCCAAGCACACAGCAGCAGCGGGACCCTGCAGCGGCAATAGCACCCAAGCTTGCAAACGCACACACGCACACAGCTCTTCCTATACTTGAAGTAAGAACCCAAATAGCTCACGCTATCTTGAAAACAATACAAAAAGCGCTCCAGAGTACTTAGTTTAAAAAAAGTAAAACAGGAAAACAAATGTCAACAAACATCAATAAAATCAACAACTTTAGTATTGGATTTGTTTGGGTTTCAGTAGAAGGAAGGGGTCAAGCGTTTGAATCAAAACCAACCTGTCACAACCTACTTTGATCACGCGAGAGCATGTGCCCTATCAAAGCACCTGTTCCCACCATCCCTTCCCACTTCATCATTCAACCATTCCCGGAAAAAAGAACAAGGTCTAACAGAACCCGGAGAGCCCTGAGCCCTCACAGAGTTGACCTTCACCATAAATATCATGTTGGCCCGATGAATCAGTGAGGCGACGCAAGCCCAATGTTGTCTCCCAAAACGAAGAATCACATTCACAGCAGCTCTTTTTTGCTGCGTCTTCCCTCGTTGCTTGAAAGAGATGGAATCACCTGACTCCTGCTGAGCCGTCACACAAAATCTTGCCTTTCCAAAAGATAATGTCAGCCATAGCCCTTGAAAGATTGCAGTGCATCTTGGGACTATGGCCAAGCTCGCGCAGGGGAGCGGGGCCCGCTCCGCTTGTAGTATTCGTACCAGCGCTACTAGTCCTACTGATACTAGTCCTACTACAACTACTACTAGTCCACCAACAACAACAACTACTACTACTACTGCTGCTGCTACTACTACTACTACTACAACGACTGCGACTGCTACGACTACTACGACTACGCTTGCAGCGCCTTCTTGTAGTATTCGTACCAGCGCTACTAGTCCTACTGATTCTACTACAACTACTACTAGTGCACCAACAACAACAACTACTACCACTACTACAACTACTACTACAGGCTCGAAAGCGCACACATGCATCTCTTCCTGTACTTGAAGTAACGAACCCGAATAGCTCACGCTACCTGGGGAATTAACATGCAATATACAAGTAAGACGTGTACGTTTGAAATCCGTAAGAATTAAAATCGAAATAAATATCCATAATATTGGAACATTGTTCCCCAGATAGCGAAGCTATGGGGTTCTTACTTCAAATAACAATGAATTGCCCGTGCGCGGTTTTGATACAGGTTGCTGGTGCTGGTGCCTGCTTCTGACAGTGAAGTGATACCAACCGCCGCTTCTGACAGTGAAGGGTAACAAACCGCCGCTTGCACCAGTGAAGGGCGACCAAGCGCCACTTCTGACAATGAAGTGCCAGCAGTCATGGGCCGCATGAACTTATGCACGCAACATCATCATACGGTGTTGTCGCTTGAGCGATCTTTGTCTATTGGCGCTCTGGGGTATTTACACTCTTCAGGTTCTGTTTTGGCCGACAGCTGTGTCAAAGGCTGTGCTGTTTGCGCCCATACTTATTTTGTACGTACAATGTTCTATGCGCAACGTGAGGCTCTCAACCGACCATTGTTTCAGCGTGTTTCAGCATGCTACATACACAATATACACAAGACTGCTTGACGCCTTATCGTTCTGCAGATCGTTGCTTCAAGCATGCTACTAAGTCAATAGTGGCGCTGGATACTGCTTGGCCTTGGGCCAATGACTCTTACGGGCTTTGCTGTTTGCGCAGATACTTTTGCGCGCATAAACTTTTACGCGCAAGATCATACGTTGTTATTCCCCAAACAGGGATAGCTATGGGGTTCTTGCTGCAAAAAAGATTGAGCTGGCTGCGCGTGCTTTCGAAAGGGTGATGGTGTTGGTGCTGGTGTTGTAGTCATGGCTGCTGGTGCTGTGAGCTGGCTGAGCGCGCGTTTAAGACGGGCGGCGGCGCTGGTCGGGTGCTGGCGCCGCTGCCGGTGTGGTCATCTGGCAAAGCGCACCGGTGCTGGTGTCAGCTGGCAAAGCGCACTGGCGCTGGTGTCAGCTGATTGTGCGCGCTGTGGAGGTGCCGTAAGCTAACTGTGCAGGCTGCGTACATTCTATTTTTGTTCCAGCCAGTCACATGTCAACAGGTCGTGGGATTCTGCCTGGCTACCTGGGTCTATGCTGGTGTTATTTTAATTCTTTTAATTCTAATATGACAAACCAACGTTTTGTACGTAACAGTAGTGTTGTTAAGAATATTGTGCTTTAGAAATAACTTTGTAATGTAATTCGGGATGCTTTATTCTCCAGATAGCTGCAGGCTATAGGGGTTTAACTTCTAAATGGTGTGACTCTGGATCGCCGTTTTGGTTTTGCGGGCGCTGCTGCCGTGCTGATGCTGGTGCAGGGGACTGTGGCGTATACATTCTTCTTGTTTCTCAAGTGCTGTCTACCTCATTACATTGTTACAATGACCGCCAATCCATTAACATAAAGATCCGACCCTGTATGTTACAGACAGAAGAAGCGCAGTCTGGAGTGATTCTCTAGAGACCGCGAAGCAAAGCCGAAATGTATCCGATCTGTTGTAAGACGTAAGACCTGCCGAAGCCGCTGACAGCATATGTACATGCCAGGGGTGCGCAAAAGAACACCGAGCCATTGGATTCAAGGCGGCCACGTCAAGTTCCCAGCAGCAACAAAGATGTCGGTCCCAGTGTCCAAACAAAGTCTCATTTGCAGCCTTCTCAGCTCAAGAATAGTGCGGTCAAAAGTGCCTCTGAAGAGATTCAACTGAATGCACGAGGAGCTAAGGGAGAATTAATGTCAGTCCATGTGTCCAACTGCGCAGGGCTTGCATTCGCATTTCCAGTGGAATCACAGCTGGTCAGCGGGATGCCCGCCTGAGATCCACCTTCTCTTGATAACACTGGCATTGGAGACAAGTCACCAATGGGTGGTATAGCGCAGTCCATCGCAATAAGCACGCGGCATCTTGCAAATGCCAGGGCTGACAAACTACGGGCGAACCACTGAAGCACTACTACGCGAGCACTCTCACATGTAGCTGTTGGCCCTCATCAACAACGAAAGGCATGATCACAAGCTGCCCCTCCAGGCTTTGAGCACGGCCCAGCACCGAACTTATGCACGTGCTCTTGGTAGGGGCGCCATGCCACTCAAGGCTGCCAAAAGCCCGCAAGGAGCACCAACCAAGTAAAGCTGAACAAAGCAAAACAACTGCATGAGTCATGTGCCCACTTGTACAGACTTAACTGAACCATCAATGAAGGAAGCAAAGGAGATAGTGCCAGAAAAACCTTCCCGGAAAACATCCACAACGAAGAACATGCATGGCGTTGCAACAGCTCCCGAGGTTCTGCTTGACACAGCCGCACTACTGGTAAGAGTCGGGCCCACGCTAGGGAAGTGATTACCAAAAAAAAGCGTAACGCGTCAACATGCATCGGGCAACCCCCACAACTCTCAACTCACAGCAGCCTTTCCACATGAACATGCAATCGTTCTCAGGGCTGCGCTATGTGCACGGAAATTCTGCAGGCAAAGCAAGTTATTGCTGCAGTGCTTGCCTGCCTCCGGTAACACTGCACATTTCATGACAAACAAATTCAACAATAAAGAGTGCTTTGTGATTCTCTGTGATTTGTTGTTTCAGTTCACCACTGGTGCTGTGGGTCCGCTACGCTCCTGTGAGCTGTGGACCTTCCCATTTCACAACTGCACACTTCGCATATGGCCGTTCTTGAGCCTTCTTTGTTAAGCTGTAGCTTCTGGTGACGTGAAACGGACTGGCAAGCACTACTACTCATTATCGCAAAGATCCTTGTTGGATCAGGTAGACCGGAGAGAGTGTTCTTGATTAATGGTTACGAGGATGGTGGATAATGAGCAAGTAGGACTAGGGTATAGTTGCTAGTTGGTTAAGGCATTCTCTAGGAGGTTCCTAGCGGGGAGAACTCGTGCCCCAAGGAGCTGCACAAGTCTCTCACAAGAGTTATTCGCACCTTTGCCGGTGTGCAGCATGTCATCAATGAACACCAAGCCATCGAGAAAACAAGTGAAGTATGGAACCATGCCAAAATCGCTCATACTTAAAGTGGAGAAATTGAACAAACGCACACATTGCAGTCTACATGCATGCAGTTTTATAACATATTATGACTATATATGTGTAAATAGCGGAGTGTCCTACTATTGAAACGCAGTTGGCGCACTCAAAGTGTTTTTTTCTGTGTTGAAATTCTATGACACAGCGGCGGTTGGAACTTAGATGTCTTGGCACTTCTCTTTTCGTTGTCCCCGGGTCAGCTGGACATGACGTAATCTTTCAGGTGCAAGTGCCCAACCTCACTCCTTGGGTTGAGTACTGGCTACTGCGTCCGTTGAAGCCCTTGCGCCTTCTATGCTGAAAACGAGTGATGGCAGCCTGTGCAGGGAACAGTGCAATGTAATTTGCCCCCAAGTGATCCGAGCCGAGCCATCGGCACAAATGCTCCACGCACGCGCCCAAGACTTCTCTGCTGGAGATACCTGGGTGCAAAGAAAGGAACGGACATGACCTTCTGTTGTCAAGCACGATGGAAGGCATCCGACTGGCATGCAACTGCCGCCACCTCCGGGCATTTAATTAGGCGCGAAGTTTCTTTGTTCATTCCTCAAGCTGGGTCGAAACTTGTTATTCGCCCCAACGCCAACATGCTGATATGTACAGCGAAGGCATGGTGTGCATTGGCTGCTGCTGCAGAAACAGCCCGAAATGAACTTAGCCCGGAGAGAAACCAATCTCAACTTCCAACTCGCCCGATTGAATATCCTGTCTGACTCAAGCACATCAGAAAATACACCGAACAAACAAAACACATCAAACCGCTGGGTAACACAAAGAAGAAACAAATACAGTACTCCGGTTGTCCTGCAACTGGTCTCGCACTAGAATGGGTTGGTTGGCTCGCCCATGAACAATCTTGTACAGCGGTATTTTCATCCGACCGAGAAAGTCTGATGACTGCATCATGTCTTCATCCCAAACTTCCAGGAGTAGCTGATCCTCGGCCATCCTTGGAATGAAGCTTTTTGGAAGGAGATCTGGAGAAGCTGTCCAATCAAAATTAAAAACTGCTAATCTGCTAAATTCTCATGAATTCCTGACATCAAACCCAAACATACCAAAACTATTCCAATCAATTATGCCAGCATAAACCCCAAACAGTTTCATTTTTTGCGTCAACTCCTTGAATTCCAATGTTGGTGGTAATGTCGGTGATTATATATATCCGTACAGACTCCAGGTGTTTTGGAACAGCATGTAAGCAAACAATGACTGACAACACTAGTTCAATAGTTCCTGATTCATGGGTCACATGCGCAAAAATGGAGTGGTTTACGTCATGAGAAAATCGAGGATGATATCAAATTCGAAACGCTGTATCACTGTTGCATTCATAGCCACACAAAAACATAGCCAAACAAGGCGGTGGAGAAAGGGAAAGCGGGACAAGGCTCGGACAAAGAGGTGAAAACAAGGGCCCACGACATGGAAAAGCAGGACAAACAAACCCGGAGAAGGTCTACACAAGGAGAAGAAAACAGGACACCAGGAGGAATCGCCAGCATGGGCAGGAGGACACCAAGAGAGAACAGCAGGAGGACAAAAGGAGGACACAGGGTTTGCGAGCGCAGCACAAGGACAAAAGGAGGACACAGGCAGCACGAGGACGAGTAGGACCAAAAGAGGACAACAGGAGGACAACACCCGGACACACGGTTCAGGGGCGCGGCCAGAAACTGCGGCCAAAGCAATTCTTCCTAAGAGAGAACCCAATGGCCCAACGGTAAACTGTTTGGGCAAAAATGCAACTGCTGGTCCAGGCGCTCGATTGGAAAAAGAAAAGGCGATGTGTTCCATCTGGGGTTCAAGTCGTTGTTGATTGTGTGTGTGCGCTTTTGCTGCTTCTCGCTTTGGCTCTCCAAGCGTATAGTTACATAGGGATCTGAGACGTCCCCAAAAAAGCCAGTGTCAGTATTGATCAAGTTGTACGCGGCAATGACACGCACAGAGAGAATTCCATGGCCCTCGCGTCCATCTCGGTCGCGGCTCTGTGAATTGTATCGGCTCTTTGGCAAAGACTGCCAGCTAAGCTGACCTGGCTCTGCTTGCCGCCAAGCGGGCGATTGGACCTCTGTGTCGTACGACTCGTAGAGGCAATCGAAGTCAATCAAGGCTTGGTTTGGAGATCCGTCCAAAGGCTCACGGAACGGCAACCTCGGAAAGCAAAGCTGCAAAAGGTGGTTGCAACCGAAAGGCGGTCCTGCCTCTGCTACTAAGGACTACTAAGGTACCTGCCGTTTCGTTGGATTCTTGGCTCTGTGCAAAGCTTCAACTATTCTTTGGATCTGCATCTGGGTGCGCCCCAAGAAATGTTGAGAAAGATGCTCTTCTCCCCGTGGATTTGCCCAATCCAGCACGTTAAGCTCCAACACATCCATGAGCGAGTTGATTTCAAACGTCATTGGTGGCGAGTTCCACTTGGGATTGCTATCCTTGGGAATTGTCGCCGTGAGTTTTTCTTGTGGTGCTCTTGAAGTGCCTTGATCACTTCTGAGTCGAACCTTTACGGCTGGACTTGGCGTTCCGTGCAAACCGGAACCAACACTGTATGCTAACTGTGCTGCTCCATTGACCCACAGTGTCAGGACACCAATGCCTCTGCCTGTCACTCCTGCAAGCTCCTTGGAGCCTTCAGCAAACGAAGGCAAGCGAGCCAAACGGGCTTGCTGAAGCGGGCGCCGCAACTTGGTCTCTGCCATCTGGTCTCCTCGTCCGGGCAACCAGCCGAAGAAAGCATCATCCTTCCACTGGTCAAGCCCGGACGTAATGTCCTCTCTACCACGAATCTCCGGATGCTGGTAGCCATGTGCAACATGTTGATTTGCACTCTGAACATACTCCCGATGGTCGTTGAACCTTCGCACAGGGACTTCAGAGAATGATGGCAACGACATGAGATGTCGAGCAACCTGGGCTTCCTGAAGAAGTTCAATGTTCCCCTCAGTTCCATTTCCCTGGCTTGGACGCATCCAATGGAATGGGTCATTCTTCCACGCATCGTTCACCTCTTGGGCTGTTGCTTTGCGCTCCGCTCGGTTGAGATCTCGCCGCCATTCTGAGAAGGGATCGTCTTTCCACTGCCTTTTGTCGATGATTTCCTGTCGTGGGTAGTATGGAGGCGGCCCTGAATAATCCTCGGCTCATCTCGGCTCCAGGGTTCGGTTTCACAATTGCTTTTGGGCCGAGCAGCATATTGTCCGAGGTGGCAGGCCTTGGTCAAAGCAAGCAATTGGACCAGTGCAATGAAGCGGACTTTTTTCAATTCATTCCAGTTCTAGCAGGGAGGCCTTTTTTGTTTTGTATTTTAGAGTGGCCGCAACTTACACTTAAAAAACACATTCTATTTTATAGTCACCGCCTCGAATCCGATAAGCTGAGCTCATGGCCAAAGATTCATACTCGTTGACACGACGTGCCTGCCACAAGGCTGCTCATGCTGCCCATTTAAAGGTGCATTCCTATTGCATGTCCTATGTGAACATGCACATGTACATGTGCGTGCATAGAATATTTCTCACAGACTTAGACTGTTCATCCATGTTGATCTGGACAGTTTACAAATAGTTCAATAGTTCATCTCATCAATTCTTGCAGCCTCGCCAACCTCGGCCAGCTTTAGTTGTTCAGCAGGGCGTGCAACAGCTTCCGGGCCCAAACCTGATCACAACAAACAAGAGTTAATGGAAGCTCATGAAGGCTCACTTGCAAGGCTTCGGATTTAACCTGCGTTGCATAGCTTGCACAGCCAGTAAGTAGGTTTCTCCCAGCCGAACCTTTAAAGGATGGCAATGGCACCTCGCATACCAAAAAATGCTACTGGCGACACCGCCCTCATATCACTACTGCAGTGATGCCAACACTATATAACTAAACTACTGCTGCTTCTAAAGAAACTTAAGAATTCTGTATGAGCCCGATGAGTCCGGCACCATATTTTCCTTCTTCTTTTTCTCTGTGAGGGCGAATTGTTGGAAAGGCTTCTTGGCAAACCTAGGCCAAACAGTCTCCGGGTGCTTCAACTCGGTGCTAAGGCTGGTGCACTAAACACATCCTGAAAAACACAAAGCGCATGATTGTGAGAGGGACGGCTGCTGACGTGGAGGCCCATACCTGCACACGAGCATCTGTGCTTGAAGTCAGTATCAGCTGCTGTGCAAGACTAATCTTTTTACATTTGTTTACGTGTTTTGGCAATACTTGGTCGCTTGGCCGGTCGTCGCACAGCAGCTGAACTTCAATTTGAATTCGAGCGCGCTTACCGTCCTTGCACTTGTACTGTGCCGCTGCTGATTTGACTGAATGGACCGGCGGAAACAGGGCTCCTCGCGAGGAACTTCTTCATGCAGCATCGAAGTCACCTCAGCCACAAAAAATCAGAAGGGCCGAAGGTCAAAGTGTGCAAGAAAAACATGAGCTTTTGTCTGTTTCTCTCCTTCCTGCTTCCTTTTCCTTCCGCTTCCCGTTCCTCTTCCCTTGTCCTTTCCTTGCCTTGTCTTCCCGATTTGTGGCTTTTTCTTGCTTCGTTTGGCATGCCCTGTCCTTGCATTGTTCTTCCTTCCTTCCTTCCTTCCTCCCTGCCTCCCTCCCTCCCTCCCTCCCTCCTTCAACTGACTTCAACTGACTTCAACCTTAGACACTGAAACTTGTATGGAAGCTTGTAATAGCCCAGGGGTCTGCAAATAGTGGAAGCATGTTCTGAGGCACTTGCTGTGTGAACTTCACCCGGGACAAGGCTCCTTATGGGGACGTCAAGCTGGCCCAAGCTGTCGTTTGCATGCCAGTGATTGGAGCTGAACACCTGCGTGAGGAGAAAGAACCATCTCCGGCATCCTTGCTCTCAAAGAACTCATTTTCATGATCTTGTTACCTCTATCTTTGCAACAAGGTATCCATCAATTGGTTCAAACACCTCCAACTTCAGCACAGGGTCCACATCCTCTGCCAATTGGAAGGCAAACAATTGCGAATCCCACACGGGATTCAAGCCTGAAAAGGAGAGTGATGTGAACGATTTTGAAGGCAGCGTCATCAATCAGAGCCTGTTTCTAGAGTTTGGGAATTCTAAGACCACGGCTGTTTTCGACTACATGGGTTTTGACATCTTTCGATCCAATTCTTGCTATGGCAAATGGATCCGAAGCATCGCTGGGCAAAATGCCAAGGTCAGTATTTCTAAGATCGTAGGCGCGCAGAATACGCAGTAGGACCTTGCTTCCTGTCAGACTGCCTTGCATGGGTCCCGGGCTGGCACCTATAGGGAAGTACGTAGGGATATGCTCCTCTTTCTGGATGAAATCAGGTAAGACTTGTCGACCAAGGTCTTGCTGCAAATCTTGTGAAGCAAGCTCATTCTTAACAGTGTTGTCTGGCAAAGCCTTTGAATCCTTTGCCTTTTTGGCCTTTTTTGGTTTCTTTCCAACACTGGAATCTGCCGGACTCATCTGGCCATAGCTTTGCAATCCCTCTCCGAAAGGCATTTCAGCTTCTGGACTGTGAGGAGCTCGTTGACGGCTTGGCGGTGAAGGCATCAAATCAGCCATGGCATTTGGACTCAGAGTGCCTTGTGGTGGCAGTGTGCCAGACCCAAAGTTCTGAGTACCCTGCGGAGGCAAAAGCGTAGATCCTGCAGTCCCTCTTCCGGCTGTTGGCGGCAAAAATATGCCCGGAGTCTGTGGGGTCTGGGGTGTATCAAGGCTCCCTCCGCTCGGAAAGTGCTCTGGCCGGTCTGCCTCGCACAATGTGCATTTCAAAGCATCTGGTTCATTGCGCAGCGTGCACTTTTCACATTCCCATTCCATGGCGTCACCACTGCCCCCCCACCTCTAGAAACTGGAGCCGGGTGGGAACGGTCAAGGCCCGGCTTTATGCAAACACACTGACAAGAAGAACAACTAAACATTATTGTTTCAGTCGGCCACTCTGGTTCTTGCCAATTTTCAAGAGGTCTCTGTAGCCAATTTTCACCTTAGGCCTTAGGCGTTTGCTTCACCTGCAATACATCCAGGGCGGCCAACCAACCTTCGATATGGCCATTCAAGGCAAGGCTCTGAATGCATCAAAATTCATCAAGGCATCAAGAATCCAGCAGCAACAATTTAAATGCCTGCACCCGCCGGGCGTTGGATTTTCTCGCCATCCAGCTTCTGACCGAATCGGAGCAGCATACATCAAGCTTTCTATATTATGTATATATATAAATATCATGCAGCAGTTCTCACAAACTACAGTTCTTGTTGCTCATCTTGGTTTAACCTCAATCAGCTTGAGTTTGTTAGAGTACAAGGTTGGCATTGTATGATGGGTATTTCAATATGAAGTGGTGACAGTGTGATCAGCTCTAGCGATGACAGCAGAGATGTGCTGATGACAGCGCTTGGGCCACACCGTGGAGATTTTGTTAGTGTGGTGACATGGCAAGGGCACTGCCAGAAAACATCGAAGCGACAAAAAATGCTGCGCCGCGCTTTCAACACAGCCACTGGCCATGGGGCCCTAAGGGCCTTCCAGACTGTTCAGTAAGGCAGGGCCGTTAAGTTCCTATGCAAGTTGCCGCAGCCTCCGGCCGAGCACCAAACCGAAAAAACAAACACACACACACACACATATATATATATATATAAGTAACAATTGGTGGCTTGATCACCATTCAAACAAATCTGCTTTCAAAGCAGTAGTTGGTTGGAATTCAGCATTGGCATCCGGCACTGCGCCAGTCATGCCTTTGAAGTCACTGGCCCTAGGTTTGGGACATTCACGAGGAAATACTATGTGCAACAAATCTGCGAAAGCTTGGCCATGGATGAGGATCTTTCCGCCATGCTCCTGGCATTTTTGGAAAGTGCGAGTGCCAGAGTTCCCAAATTTCCAAGGAGACACAATGACAATGGAAATCGTGTCCTTCGCTAGCTGTTCCAGCTGGAAGTGCATCTCGGGCAGGTCAAATCCACTTCGCTCGCGGATAACAGTTGTGATGATGTTTAATGGATCACCTTGATCTGTCATCAGTGCACGCTCAAGACGGCTTTTGTGGACTTCGCAACTGTTGGGGCAGCACAAATCGTAGAAGCTGGTGGTGCCATCGCAATTGGACGGGCCGAGCATGTAATTTGGCATCAAGACCAGCTCACTTTCAAACGGTCCTTCCAATGCCCCTAGCTCGCGCAAATACTCCACAGATTCTCTGAACAGGTCTCCTTTGGTGGCTGTGGCTGTGCAAGTGCAAGATGCAACAAAAAATCCAAAACACAATCAATTTTTGTATAACGGGAACACTTCCCGTCCTCCATCTGCAGATCTGAGGTGGTTCAATTTAACGCGGCCCTCTTGCCCTCCAGGTAGAGATTGAACCGTTTTTCCATATCCTGGTGAACTTGCCATGGCATGGCGCCGACATGGGAAACCCCTGGTCACTAGTCGCACCACGCGCCGGTTTTGCAATGTGTAATTGATTGTTTCTCCCTAATTTATCATGGCCCCTCCACTGTCGGTGGGTAGGGGGGTGGACACCGTCTTATAATAGAACTTATGTTTGAGGCAACCCCTCAAGGAGACACTCTTGTAGGAGCGCTCTTGTGGAACACTCTTGCGGAAAACTGTTGTGGGACACTCTTGTGGGACACTCTTATACTCTTGTGGGACACTCTTGTAGGAAAGGCTCTTGGTGGACAGCTCTTATGGGACACTCTCGAGCGACACTCTTGTGGGGCACGCGCTCTTGGAGGACACTTGTCGGAGAAATTTGTGGGACACTCTTGCAGGACACTCCTGTTCAACACTCTTGTGGGACATTCTTGTGGGACACTCCTGCGGCGGGGACGAACACTGCTGAGGGACACTCGTGCAGGAGACTCTTGTATGACACTCTTGTGGGATACTCTTGCTTTCTCCAAAACTCACGTGTCAAGCCTCCAAAACGAGCGTTTTCGTACGAGACTTCCTCCAAAAGTCAGGCGTCAAGTCTCGAAAAGAAGCGCTTTGTGCGTGTGCCGCAATGCTTTTGCTGTTTGCTGCCACCTTGCGCTGCTGTGCTGCTCTCATTGTTCCACTCTGACAGGGGTCGTGCAGGTCTTTTTATACTTGCAATTTTCGAGGCATGCAGCATGCAGAAATAACTAGAACGCAATATGCAAGATCTTCAAGCAAAAGAACACTACAGAATGGAATAACATGTGAAAACATTGCTGCTGAAGCTACAAAATAATTGGCTATATATACGCATTGTATTGCGGATGACATACTACAATAGAGAAAGTGTTTGTTGTTTCACTATACATTGATATGCAATGTAAAAAGTGTGGAATGGACATCAAGCTACTGACAGTCGAATTTCATTTTGCTTCATCCATGCAGATTGCAAGGACTTGAACCAACGTATTTATATACTATGATTTCTATTAAAAGACTGTGTCTCTGCGGGCCTTCTGGGGGCCACTTTTATACAGAATTCAGCGTTTTAGTGGGCTTAAGGTCCCCCAATTTGTAGTGCAACTTCTTTCGAGAATCGGGTATAGTAAGGGTCACCATCTTTCACGTTCACAAGCAAAATCTAGGGCTTACATAGCATCATAATGCGTAATGCGTCATTGCTGGGTGAATATGCTCATCGAGACGAGGCTGCACGAATGCGTATTGTCTGGGATGGATATATAATCCTCAAACGAGCAGAAAAAACAGATGGACAATGAACATGGAATAAGAACACGCTTAATCAGACAAGCTTCATGGCACATTGATCCAGAGACCTCAACAAACCGCAAGTCCACATTTCCGAGCTAGTTCCAAACATGGCCCACATCGTCTCATCTCGGAGCCTCTTGGAAAACAAGCAGCACCGCATCGGCTGCATTGGCAGCATCATCAAATGATACTCTCTTCTTTTGGTGAATTGCGACCTTGCCAGCAGCTGCAGCTCCCGCAGCAAGACTTTGCCAGCGTACCCCATTCATAGACTTTTACTCCGTTTCGTGCGTTACCTTTGGGTTCAAAAAGTCTTGAGTACTCTTTTCACTCATTTGCACTGCTTGTATGCTTTTCCCAAAGTCTGCAACGCACAATTCCTTCTGCCGTTCCTGCAGCCTGAGGCAGGTTTCACCGGTTCAGGGAAAGCCCGTTAAAATGACCAAGGCCCGCTAAACATGCTAAACTATACGACTATTGCACAAACAAAGCCCGCCAGTGACAACCGTATTTGATTGATTTTGGGTGTTGTCGGATTCCTGCATTCGCTAATGTTAGTGACCTTCCCATTCAAGCTTGTGACTCGCCATGAACTTCTGGGCATCCACCCTCTTCCATTGTGAGAGAAGGAATCCATCTCACATAGGTGTGCCTTTGGGAATGTACTGGTGCTCAGCACCCCATTTGGCAACTCGCAAGCCCTAAACCGATCGGTGTAGTGGGCACCAGCTAGTCTTGCAGGGGCGGTGGCGGTTGCTTAAGAGGCGTTCCACTTCTGTTGCCTGCTCAAGTTTTGCAACAGCTGTAAGTGATGTGAGCAAGTGCAAGCAAGCGATCTCAGTGTGTGTGTGTGTGTTTTACCAAGTGGACCAAGTGCCTTTGCAACGCCATAGCATGTGAAAAGGTCGGCCATCATTGGAGCGGTGTCAGCTCCACTGGAAGCTAAGGATTGAGATAGAACCGTAGACGATCATAGATGGGCAGGGCTGGCACAGAACTGCAAGATCTGGCGAATGAAAGCTCACGCAAATGAGCTGAGGCGTGATTTGAGCTCATCCTTGCTGCAAGTGTGACTCCAGTGATGGAATTACAGTATTGCATCCGGCCGATCATCGCTAGGCTCCGTATGCCAATATGCTTGGGCGTCCGGAGGACATTGATGGGCAAACTAGTTGCCTCTTTACCACTCGTGCTGTGATTCCCCTGCTTTTTTCCCACCGAGCCTGTTTTTGAATAAAGTCTTGGATCTGCGGCCAGCCTGGCAGTCCATGAAGTGACGGCCAAAAGGGACAAAAAAGTCATGAGAATCATGAATGATTCATGGTTGAAGCGGGTGACGATTTGCTTGGCCTCCATAGATTCGAGAAATGGTTTTGACCTCTTCAGCGGCCTTTTCCGAGGTGAGTGCCTCGAATTTGCATTGTGTTGCATCTTGCAAGAGGAATGCTATATAGTATATAGTTAGTTATCTTGAAGTGCTTCAGGGCGCATATCCACTGTCATTCTTTTGGCTGACATAGACATAGTGAGCCATGAACACCTGCTCAACTGCAATTCAGTTTTTCCCCTACTGTCTGTCTGCATGCGGCCCCTGCCTCAAGAACTGTCACAAGCCCTGCAAGAACCACAGGCTAGGACAAACGAACCCCTCCAAAGAAGCACGACTTCCTGCTTGCAGTAACATGCGCCCTGCCTTCAGGGCTTGTTGCATCATCTGGCTTTAGGCCATGTATTAGCCATGCTTGCTTCAAGCGTTCTCGCTGGTCTCCATGGATCAAGTGCTCCTCAGTTACTGCCCCATTCTGTTCGACAAAGTGCGGTCAGAATGAATCAAACTAAACTGGTTTGGCACGTGTGCAAACCAGCATCCAAAGTTGCAACAAACACTGCAAGCATCTTCAAATCCAGGCCATTCGGCGCCTTGCCTTCCATGACCTGAGCCCAAACCACGCTAACACGCACAGTGCAGTGCAGTGCAGTGCAGTATAGTATATATAAATATAAACACATATACCTGCACATCGGTGTATCGCAGAATAAATATGAATAGAAATGCCCGTGGCATACTTACTTGCTGCGGGCATCAATGAAGCAATGAAGCGCAGGATGTGCAAGCAATGCTTATGGCCAGTGGTCATTATCTAAAAAAACGGTTGGGTGATCTAATTCGCACGTTGCACCGAGAGCTGCGCGATATATCCTAGCCAGTTACCCGCGTAAATAAAGTATTTGCAACACAGATTGCACAGACTGAAGTTGTCACAGCAAAGGTGTGGGCACAACATGTCCCAAACCTTAAATGTTGACATTTGGACATGTGGCTCGTCGTCAGAAATCGGCGGAAGTCTCGAGCGGAAGTTGCGTTGGCATCTTGATGTTGTCTTTGGAAGTGTTTTTTCTGCGATTGGCTTTGGCATGGCTGCGCGATGCGAATCTTGCAGCGCAGATTTTTTGGCAGGCATAGCGCTTTGTGGACTTTGCGGTGAAGATTTTGTGGCAGGCGCAGCGCTTTTGGAGGGCTTTGAAGTGCAGACTTCCTGGCTGGCGAAACATGTTGTGAACCTTGAATGCAGATTTCGTGGAATCTTGAGGTGCAGAATTCGCGGGGCGCGGCCAATGTGCTCTTATATGGCGGAAAAAATAATGCCCCGGGCACAACGTTGGTGAAAACCGAGAGAGGCCAAAGCCCGAGCCACCTCAAATAGAAGAGGCAGAAAAAGGCAAAGAAAAGGAAGAGAAGGGAAGGAGGCAGTGGGAAAGAGGCAGAAGGGAAGGGGGAATCTGAGAAGGGGGAAGGGGGAAGGAGGTAAAGGAAAGGAAGGCAAAGGTAAAGAGAAGATAGAAGGAAGGAAAGGTGGAAAGGGAAGAGGAAGGGGAAGGAGGCAGAAGGGAAGGCAAAACAGAAGGCAGAAGAGAAGCTAGCGGGTTTACCTAGCTGCCGGAACAATACTAGAGCAGCCACGGACAATGACCACGGGTGTATTTATGTTGCTTTTCTCTTCTTCTCGAGGGAGGGACAAAGAGCGAGAAAGAGTGAGAGAGCGAGGGAAGGAGGGCGGGCGGGCTCATGTGCATTTTGTGCCAAATATAAATATATATATATATATATATTCTATTTGAAGACCTGTTGGTGAGCACGTTTATCAACCCCTTATCTTGACCTATTTCTTCTATTTGTCCCCGGAACCCTGCTACGGGAGGAATATGCAGCCTCCTAGATTCTAGTTGAAAATAAGTTTTGATATCTTCCATAATAGTTTCCCGCACTATACCTATCATCAAAAAGCTGGTGTGGGTTCAGCTGTTCAGCTGCCAACAAAGTCACGGCCCGAAAAATTGGCAGCCGGTGCAAGTTGATTTGCCTATCAAAATGTTCCGAATCAGATGGTGGTGATGGTGGTGGTCCAGGTTCAGAAGCGAAGGTCTGGGTCCAGAGTTCTATGTCTAGAGGTGGAGAGTGATGCCTAGAATGTGAAAGCACACGCGCACACTGGCCCTCTTCAACCAAAGAAAACTTTAAGCAATGCCAATGGCAAATGTGACAAATGCATCATTCATTTGGCCTCGCCAAACAAAAAAACACCTAAAGTGTTCGAAGCCGCCCAAGTACACAGCAGCATGCAACAGCCAGTTACCCATCCAAGCGCCCATCGAAATTGGCCAGCCAACGACCGCAGTATTCGACAGAATCGGCAGGCCAGTTATAGTAAGCACATCTATTGTAGAAAAAATTGTTTGTGCCAATCTTCTAGTTGAAAGGTATGGAAATTTGCCGCTGGGACGGTTTCAAAAACACAATGTCATTGCATACCTGCTGCCTTCTGCAGCTTGTTTGGAAACCAGAAATTACCGGGAAGGTGCTTTTGCCATTGCCTGCAGAACTACCGCGTCCAAATATTTTTTGGTCACTGCAGATTGCAAAGCAAGGATGCATCAATCAACCGTTTGCGCGCCGTGTGCCTGCGCTGGTTTGTTGTGCAACTTGAGCATCGTCATGCGTGCGTGCGTGGTGCCCAGCCTCCAAAAGATGCCCAGCCACTCGGCTTCGAAGCGCCTCCTACACAAGCGCGAAAAAGGCAAAAGTCAGACCTTTCCTCGGGGGATAAAGTAGTACACGCCACACGGAAGCCTAGGCGAAAAGGGTCCCTGAGTAAAACGAGAAGAGAGGAGTCCAACAATTGAAGTCTCATACAAGTCCCTAACACAAACCCCAAAACAGGTTTAACATTTTAGGTTTCAGCAGTTTACCCTTCCAACTGGCTACCGGTTGACTAATATTTTAAGCAACACCCAGTCCTAAATCCTCAAAAATCCAAACACAAGAGACTTGAGCTTTGTCCCAAGTCAATCCCAAAGCCGAGCGATTTTTTCCCAGTTTCTCCAAAAAATAATGCCAGTTTTTCCAAAGTTTTTCCCAAAGACCGAGCCAGTCTTTCCCTAAAACCCAGCCAGTTTTTCCCAAAGACCAAACCAGTTTTTCCCAAATGGAGCGAATAGATAGTCTATATTTTTGTATCATCAAATAATAGTATATGTTCTATTTATATAGCTAATTTATCTACAAGTAGATTTTAAAGAAATCTATTATTTTACTATTTGAGGATGAATTGTATGAAGGATTTACCTGTTGATGTGTTGAGTAAAACTGTTTCTTATAGAATTGGAGAACCTGAATATGTGAAAAAAACATAGTGAAGCATTGAAGAGAATACAAAACAAACATAAAATATCAAGACTTGGTCCGAAAATAGACAGAAAGATAAGACAAAGAAACACAATGTATATAATTGAGTATTGTATTATGAGAGAGGGAGTGCCATTAAATGTGCAAAGTATAGGAAACATCATAACAGAAGAAAAAGAAGAAGTACTATCTTTGATTTCTGAAGAAGTAGAAGAAGATAATTTAAATTTTAGAGTTGAACTTGCAAAACTCCCAGATAAAGAATATAGAGACAATGAATCTAGTTGTAGAGAAGTTTGCTTCATGAATGACTTTGATGAATATGTAGATGAAGACCATATAGACGATGTATTGAATAAAGCAGATGAAGAAGTAAATACCAACATAGAAGAAGACCAAGATAAAGATAGTATACTAGGAACACAAGCATTTCATGTTAAATTAATTATTGAATATATTTACTACTAACATATTTATAATAATATCTAATTATTAGAATTATTGATTTGTAAGATCGGATTATTAAAGGTTACGGGTTTATCTTTATTGTTGTCTGCCGTTTTGTCTTATATATTGTTCTTTGCTGGGTTTGTTTTGTTTTTTGTTGTTATAGGAAATCTTGGACAAGACATTTCAGAAGATAATCATATTTATATGTAATGGATAAATTTTGTAGATACTGTGTTAAAGATTTACCAATTGATCATTTTGAAGATGGATTGAAAACTTGTAAGAAATGCTTGGAATACAAGAGAAATAACGACGAAACGTATTTCCAAAGATATTATCAAGAGAAAACGCAACAACCGTGTGTATGCGATATATGCGGCTCTGCCATGAGCTGCAAATCAAACTTGGCAAAAGGACAAGAAAACGAAGAAGTGCCAAAGGTGCTTAGTGTAAGTTCATTATGATTTTGTGATGCAAGAAACTATCATAGAATTATATAGTGAACTTCCGAAAGATAGAATATTTTTTTCATTCGTAAATGCGATTGACACATATTCCATCTTTTTACCTCCCCAGAGGTGGGTTAAGAAATATAATATTTGGTTCACTGTACTTGGTCCAGCTGAACGACCATAGTCGTTCCTCTGCTGATATGGGGAGGGCGACCTGATTATATAGTAGCAATTTCACTTTGAGAATAGGAAGCAGTAAGAGATAGAATATGTTCACAATGAGAAGCCCCAAGACCTATTGATTTGTTTTTTGAAAGCACATGAAAATTGTGGTTTCCTCCAAAAGCCCGCTGCCAGAAACCAGGGATTGCCTCTGCTGATATGGAGGGGACGACCTGATTTTATAGCAATTTGGCTTTCAACATAGCATAAAATAGCACTCAGCAAGAGATAGAATATGCTCGTGGTTTGTTTGTTGCGTGTTTTGTTGGTTTGCCTCCACAATTTCATCACATTGCACAGGGTCAAGATTGACCGACCATTGATCATTGCAGTAAAGAAAAAACTGCCGCAGTCGGCAGCATGTCGGTCTTTCCTCGTTCTTCTCTTGATTCATTCCGGGTCTTGATTATTCCATCTCTTGATTGGTTGTTTCTTGATTATTCCATCTCTCTGTTGCCCTCAGGGTGATCGCGATTATTCCACCTCTGTCATTCGCAAAACAATATTCCATCTTTCAGGTGATTACTATACTATAATCTAAGTACTTTTAATGACTAGATTGGAAAAAGAAAAGGTATTGGAAAATATATTACGACGTGGAGGATGGCTTTGGCTCGGTGAGAGACTTATATGAAAAAGCGAAGAAGGTTGATGTAGGCGACATGGTTTCTAAATGGATGAGGTCACAACCGAAAAAGCAAACTAGAAACTACAAAAACTATAATTCCTACACAGCTCCGTTCCCGAAGTATGAATTTCAAATTGACTTGATGGATGTTACAAGCCTGTTGAAAGATGTAGGTAATGAAATTAAAGACCAACCAAGATATGGCTTATTATGTATAGATAAATTCAGCAAAAGGACAGAAACTGGAAGTCAATGGAGTGAAAGAAAGTATAAAGTAATACTAGTTGGTCGTGATATGATGAATAATAGATATTATTATAAATTGGATGGAATGAGTAAGAAATATAATAGGCATGAATTACTATTGGTTGATTAGTAACTGTTTTTCTTTCTTCTGTTTTCGCCTTTCTCTTCTTTTTGCATTTATTTTATCTTTCTCTCTTTGGTATCTTTTTCTTTATGTCTGCATCGTTGCTTCTTTGTTTCCTTCATCGAGTATACGCTATTATTCATTATATAAATGAAACAAATCCTTTTCAAAGTCATTGCTGGCATTCTTTCTCTTTTCAGTGTTGAATTCAATGAATGGTTTTAAGAAGTGTGCTTGTTTGAAACTTATTGCTCTATGGACATTTTAAAGACGAAGCCCGTGTTGCAAATAGAATTTCAATGCTGATATGTGTAAAAACATACTTCTTTTTATCCATTACATTTAATACTAACTTTTTTTCATCACTGGCATCTTTTCCAAAATAAACTTTATGTAAATCCTTCTGGACTTTGAAAGCATATTCTCATTGATACTCATGATTTCAGGTGCTAATGGATAGTCTTTATGTAAATCATGTAGTTCTTTCGGATAACCTAAATCAACTTCTAATATGTATCCTACGTCATCATCATCACTATATTTTATTACTCTCTTTTCATCCATTCTACCGTAATACCATTTAAAATCACCATATGGCAGCTTCTTACACATTGCTAATCCGTAAAGGTTACTAGCATCTAAATAACTTATGTATGATGAAGGTTTAGATTTATCATAACCTTATAAATGTTTATTGTTGGCTTCTACTTTCTTAAGGAGCACTGTGTCATTCCTCCTCTTAACCCATGTTCAATCATCTCATACATTTCTTATGTGTATTTGTTGTAGTCTAACTCCTGTCAATGATAAAAAGGCATTCCAAGAATAGTTAGGTAAAGTGATATAGTATGCTGGGTCTAACCCATAAGAGTTTTAATAGTTCAAACACATATCCCCAAAATTGTCCAAAACATCAGTCAGTAAATATACATCAGCCGTCAATACAAATCATGATATTCACCAAGCTTTTTAATGTTAAAATGTTTCCATACCATATTTGCTCTGGTGTAGTCTTTGTCAGTTATGTTTTCTTCAAATAATTTACTGTAAAACTATTCGTTCTGTGGTAGTTTTGTTACACCGAATTTCTCCCATGAGCTCATGTAGTCATAGGGATACACACCCTTATCAGTCAGCAAGTTCAAACCAGTTTTAGATTTGATATATAGGTTGGTGCTTGTATATCTGAAACGAGTTTCCCAATCTTTAATTTTTGATTCCCTTCATATTTGTTTAATCTAACTAACTTATCCAATGACGCAGTTAAGAAAGCGAAGCTGTCTTTAAACTGACAAGCACCAAATGAAAAGGTTATGCACTTTTCAACTTTTCACTGCTTTGTGCTATTACATCTATTCTTTTGTTTTGGTTTAGTTCTATGTTTAGTTCATGTGCTTTTGCTATGATTAAGTGAGCGTCAAAGCTTTTAAGACTATAAAAGCAAATAGGGATTTAAACTACCTAAATTAATAATCCAAATTACATTTTACATGCGCTGCGCGTCTGTATTTGCCTGTGAAGTGGCAGTGGTCGCGAACCTTTTCATCGTCAGGTTCAAATTTCTTACCGCAGATGGAGCAGCCAAACGATAATTTAGACTCTAATTTTTGTTCGTTCGTTAATTCATCCATCGGTTTTTTAACATTCACATTATCAAAAATATCTTTCTTAATTTCAGTCAGTTTTTTCTACAAACTGTTTCATACAGTCCTCACCTCTGTATGAATACGGTTGGCATGTATCATCAATCCTGCTTACTACATTTAACATATAACCACATGGTTTATGTTCCTGATATATGCCTTTTATACCATTTGTAGAGTTATTCGTTAGACATTCAAAATCACCATAAATTACAAAAGGACAAGGCAATTTAGTATCATGCTTTTCAAAAACTGTATAAGTGTCTTTATCAGGCATCTTTGTCTGTTGTCCTTCTGATGCCATACATCTGTTTTCAAGATGTTTCTTGTATACCTTTTCGGATTGAAAGGGATTTAAACAGTGGTGGCAGTAAAACTTTTTATTGGTACTGCTGTGGCAGTTTAATAATCTACATTTATTTTTGACAATACATAGTGATAACTATTTTCATCATAGATTTTTAGTAAATCAATTTCGTATTTAACATTTCTATTTTTAGTGCCTCTATGCAATATAATCTTATTATCATTTACAGTAAGCAGTCATCGGGTTCAAACACATTTATTGAACATGATTTATTGTTCTCTTCAAATCTGTCAATGTCCCT